ACAAGGCTTAATTTAATACAGCTTACATTTGAGGCACAACAACAAAGAAATGATTCTACTAATTTAATTATCATCTTTAGGTGCTCTATCTCCTCATTAAATCTAAAGGGAGATACAGCCTGGAGAGATGCACTGAGGCCTATTTACAATTAAGGTTATTTCATACTTGTTTCTCTGATAATTGGAAACTTAGGGTACTTTCAGTGACTTTGGTTCTTAATTGATAGCTCTTAGGTGAATTATACTGGAAATAACATTATTACAGAAATTTTACTAACCTTTCTCTGAAATAAGATTTTTACATTATTCTTGGGAACAACTGGTCCTTTGTTTTATAATTATTATTCTTATCAAAATTTGCTGAAGTATATTACACCTGTGTTTGAAATTATAGGCAAAGTCTATGACAAACTGAGGAAAAGGAGAAGGTTGTTAATTTCTCTTGTTTAAGATGTGAGCTTCTTTTAATTGTTCTCTCCGTGTCTTAGTGATCAGTGTTACTCAAAAATAAAATATAAAAGGGATAAATTAACATGAGAAAATTGCTTATTAAGGCCAGGCGTTGGTGGCGCATGCCTTTAATCCCAGCACTTGGGAGGCAGAGGCAGGCGGATCTCTGTGAGTTCGAGGCCAGCCTGGTCTACAAGAGCTAGTTCCAGGACAGCCTCCAAAGCCACAGAGAAACCCTGCCTCGAAAAACCAAAAAAAAAAAAAAAAAAAAAAGAAAAATTGCTTATTAAGAAAGTAAGAAGTTGGGCATGGTAGTAAATTCCTGCAATCCCATCACTTGAGCGTCTGAGGTAGGAGAATTGAAGAGTTCAAGGCCAACTATGGAGTGACTTTCAGGTGTGGACTATATAGACCCAATCTCAAAAACGACAAGTAATCAATATAACTATATAAAAAATAAATCTAAGCAAACTGGAAACATCCACCAGAAGTGCCTCTGAAAGATACTTTATCCAAATGTTAAATAAGTGAAAGTATTAACATATATCTTTTATAGAAATCCAAAGTGACTACCTTTGAAAAATAAATGGTAAGTGAATATGTGAAGATCCCTATAAGTCAAATTTGTAAAACATTTATATTTTCTCTTTAGCTCCAAAGAGACAAAAGCTTAAAAGTCCTTCTTCCAGTGGAAGACTCCCTTCCTATCTGACATAATTTCTAAAAAATATGATCATAAAAATATGATTTGTAAATTCTTCATCTAAAGCCAATTAAAACCACATTATACTCTAAAATCTTAACTGAGGATATTTTAGTTAAGGGATTTTCATTTTTATTTTAAAATCTAGAGCAACAAAATATTAACAACCAGAGTCATAAATTGGACTGACATCACTTTAAAAATAATAGATAAAAAGATTATTTCAAGTAATTTGTTTTGATATGGTTGCAAATATCTCAAAAAAGTTTATATCCCACTAATTTAGTTAACCTAACATTTCTACTCTGCCTCAATTAAAAAAGAATCTGAGGCTTTTTTCAAAGTTTCATAAATCAGCTTTTAAATCTAGCCTGTTGAAGAATGTGTGACATCATACCAATTAGTTCTCTATATTTTTGTATATATTCATGACAACATACTTTACTCCTAATCTTTAAAGATTGTATTGTTCACTAAGAGAGGGAAATATTAAGTTGCCCAGCTTTTTATGGAGACACACTATACTATATGCACAAAAAATAGGGAAGATGTTAAATTCTGAGTAACAGGCAGAGTACATAAATGGTAGTTTATTTGAACAGTTGTGGAAAGAAAAATGCCAAAAGATTCAGCTGAGTCATCTGTAGTTAAGAATAAAAGAATAAGAGCAGTGATGATTTAATCCTTTCATTTTTCTCCCCTCCCCAAATCAAGACTACATAAAAAAGAAAAGCCTGTTATGTTCTGAAGAGATTAAGTGGAATGATTTATGCTGATTATATTGTCAAAGTCAAAGTCAAATGCTGTATTTCATGCTGGAACCTAAGGGAGAAGTTAATGCTTAAGGCCTTGGTGCAATCTGTTAGACAATAGGAATCTACACTCACATTTCTGTTCATTCTTAGATTTAGATTTAGTTTTACAATCATTTTACATGATTGAGAAAAATATAAAAGCCTAACTATAATGTAAATTTGAGGTATTCTTCAAAATTCTCTTTTCTTTCTCTGGAATCTTACTTTCTCATATTCTTTGCCAGTGACCTTGTCACATAATTTCAATCAATATGTATGTATGTATGTATGTGTGTGTGTGTGTGTGTGTGTGTGTGTGTATGTATGTATGTATCTATCTATCTATGTATCTATCTCTATCTGACTAATCCTGGTGTGTGGCATTTCTCTTGATAGCCTGCTCATCAGACAAGCGATATTTTAATGTGCACTTGTGGTTAAGTTTGATAAAATCCATTCAGTGGACCTCTCATTCACTATAATTGCTCATTTTATGACAGTGATACAAACCTTTTCACTCGTTTTCAAAGTTGAGATTCTGGAGTGAACTTGCAGTTACAATCATGCAGCATGATCTCAGATAAATCTGACCTTTAAGGCACTATTCACTACTTTGTTTAACATTTGTGTAACTATAGATCTAGGGAATAGGAAGTGAATATGAAGCTAGAATAAAACATAAGGTAATTACTTAGCACCTTGCTCAATAAAATTAGTGTTAATATTAATAGCAATATTTTGATAACATTACTTGTAATTAAATTTCTTTTAAAACTTTTGCATATATTTTGAAGTTTGTGTTACTAGTAAACAAGTGTCAACACAAGCTTCTTAAATTTTATGTTTTGTAGCTGTAGTATGAAAACATCAGTATTTTATCAATTATAGTTTCAACTCTCTGTGTGTGGAGGGGTGTAAATTCATGCCAACTGAAGAAGAGACATTCTCTATTTCATAAAATTGAGTTAGACAAAATGGCTGTGGTAGGAACTGGCACGATTTATTGACGTTATTGAAATGGTTATAGAAATAATAGGAATTTCTTGTTTACTCAATGTAGCTATTCAAGAATTATATAGAGGAAGAGAGCAAGAAAAAAGATACCTTAATATAGGGAGCCATTATAGGTTTAAAGAGAAATCTGGCACTAGGGAAATGTCCAGGAACCCACCAGGATGATCCCATCTAAGAATCTAAGTGATAGTGGATAGGCTGCCTTAAATGTACTTCCCCTATAATGAGACTGATGACTGACTTAAATGTCATCCTAGAACCTTCATCCAGTAGCTGATGGAAGCAGTAGCAGACACCCACAGCTAAACACTGAGCTGAATTCCTGGAATCCAGTTGCAGAGAAGGAGGTGTGATGAGCAAAGGGGTCAAGACCATGCTGAGGAAACCCACAGAAACGGCTGACCTGAGCAAGTGGGAGCTCACTGACTCCAGTCTGACAGCTGGGGAACCAGCATAGGACTGAACCAGGCTCCCTGAACATGGGTGTCAGTTGGGAGGCCAGGGCAGTCTATGGAGCCTCTGTAGTAGATCAGTATTTATCCCTAGTGTACGAATGGATTTTGGGAGCCCATTCCCTATGGAGGGATACTCTCTCAGCCTAGACACACGGGGGAGGGACTAGGCCCTGCTCCAAATTATGTGACAGACTTTAATGATTCCCCATGGGAGGCATCACCTTCCCTGGGGAGTGGATAGGGGGGTGGGATAGGGGGTTGGTGGGGGGCATGGGAGATGGTAGGGAGACAGAATTGGGATTGATAGGTAAAATAAGATGGTTTCTAATTTAAATTTTAAAAAGAGGGGGAAAAAGAAAATGCCCTTCAGCTGGCTATCATGGAGGCATTTTCTCAGCTGAGGCTCCTTCCTCTGATCTTGTGTCAAGTTAACATTAAAACCAACCAGTAAACTGCACCACTCCAAAAAAAAAAAAAAAGAATTCTACAGAGGGGAAAAAAAAAACTATAATGGTGGTAGAGTTTGCTACTAGATGCTCTAGAATTGTCATTGAAAGTGAAGCCTCATTAGGCAAACTGTATTTTACTAAATGTTGCATAGAAGCCTGCATAGATTTTTGAAGCAAACAATATGTGAAACATCATGTTTGCAATTTGTCACTAACTTTAAATCCCATTATTACTCTCCGGATCTTATATAAGAACATCTGAACACACAATGACATCATGTAAGATAGATATCGGGACCCTGTGCTGAAGGAGTTGCCTTAAACCCTGAAGCAGATGCTTGAAAAGGCACGTGTAAGGGTGGGGGATGTGTCTCAGAGTCACCTGGAGATGCTTGCAGTAGACTGCTCTGACTTTCCAGGTCCCCTTTAGCACCCAGGGGAGATCTGACAGCACGGGCCATCTAGCCTCATTGAGGCATTTCTGGCTAGAGCCGGGTTCCCGTCTGTGGAAGCCCACACCCCGGCTTTCCGCAGGGGCGCTTGAGTCCTGGGGAGTCACCTCGGGAACCTACTCTGCAGCCACGAAGGCGACAGCTAGGAAAGCCAGGGTTCCCATTGTCACCATAGCAGTTCAGCGGTGCCCCCTCCTCTCCGTGGCGGGGGCCCTACGGTACCCTCCACTACCTCGGCTGCCGGTTCAACTGGTGGGGCGGCCGGTCTAGCTACCTCGTCTCCTGGGAGGCCACTGGGAGCCATGCCTCTGCCGCCGCACCTGACCGACTGACTAACCGAGCCCCCCAGGCTCAGTCACACTTCAACTCGAGCGGAGGTCGCCACTACCTCAGGCGCCACCGCACAAGCCCGGAGGGCGCTGGGTCTGGCAGAGTGCGCTCCCCCCCGTCCCCCGGGCGGGAAGGCGACAGCGTGAGCCGCCTGCCCGCCCGCACCTGGCCGCCTGTCTGGCACAACTCCGGCCCAGGCGCGCGCCGGCACACGCACGCGCACACGTCGCGCGCGCGCCGGCTGTCGGCCCTGGGGGCGGGACCGCGCGGCGGCGAGCGGGTGGGGGGCTCGTGGAGCGCGCGCCCCGCACCCGAGGGCTGCGGAGAGATATTTTGGGTGGCAGGAGGTCCCTCGTCATTTCCGCCGGGCGGCTCGTCGTGCTGGGGGCTCCAGTCCCGCGCGCCGGGCGAGCGAGCGGGCAAGTTGGCTGCGGCGCTGCGCCGGCGCCTCCTTCCTCTCCCCGCCCGCTGCGACCCTCGGCGGCTCGAGCCATGAACTGAAGCTCGCGGGACGCACACCCGGGGCTGAGCGGCGGAGGAGGCTGCAGCAGCGGCCGCCGCCAGGGCTGGGACCGAGCCGACCCCGGGCGCTTCTCCCTCCCCCAGCCGTCGCCGCTCCCACCGCGGTCGCCTCCGACGCTCCAGCCTTGGGACCGCCACACAAAAGCCGCCCTCTCCGCGCCGCCCACCCCGGGAGGCTGCGGCCGGACATCGACCCCACCTGAGGGCGCCTCGGACTGCGGACTTCGCTTTCTGTCCGAGCTCCGCGTCCCACGCGGCACCGACCCCGCCACCCATGGCTCTGATCATGGAACCAGTGAGCAAATGGTCCCCGAGTCAAGTAGTGGACTGGATGAAAGGTAATGCCCTCTGTGCGGAGGGCGAGGCGACACTGGGGCACGGGGTCCCGGTATGAGGGAGGGACGCCCGCCAGGGCACAACCCGTCCTGGGAGCTTCCAACCGACTGCTAACGGTACTCCCCGGGAATGGAGGGGGTCCTCGAGTTCTAGTAGGGACCCGAGGACCCTGATCTCCTTTTGTCTTCAGCCAGAGGGGCGCGGGGAGCGAGAGGGCTACGGGCGCCACCTGGTTGAAGCTGAAAGCAGGGCGGTGGAATCCCGACGCATCTTAGCCACTTCCCGCTTCCCTCGACGCCTTCGGGCCCCGAGGACGCGGCGACCCTTGTTTCTCAGCTAAGGGAGGAGCCCTCGGGACCTATTCTCACGGTTGCCCCTTCCCTGGTCCCCTTTGTTCCTGGAAACCTGAGGCCCCTTCTAGGTCTCACCCTGCCAAGTGCCTTCCCCAGTGCCAACTGTCCTGGCAACTTTTAAGCCCGCATAATGGGGTCAGGATGCAGTCGCTGGGGTTGGAATCTGGGGACCCCCGCCTCCAGGCTGGGCTAAGGACGATCGGGAAGGGGCGCGCTACTTTGGGGTGAGGAAAACAAGCTTCCCTTGGGACAGCATCCCTGCTGATACATGTAGGTTCCCTCCTGCGCACCCTAGCAAATCCTTTGCTTTCCTAGGTTGAGGTGTGCGGAGGCTTTAGACCTCTCGCTGTTCTTGTTAAGGGCTCAGCGTCAGGCTTAAAGTGGTGCTCATTTAAGTACTCTCTTTTTTACTTCCATCTTGAAGGCTCTCCCACCCCCGACAATTTCTAATAACCAGTTTCAAACCTTCGCCCTCCTTGTAGACGCAAATGTGGGCTTTTTCTCTAGTCTTTGGGCTTTCCCGTCTCACTATCTCCCTCTGTTGTCTGAGTTGAGGGGCTTGTAGGGGAATCTCTCCAATTCATCCCCAGACCGAACTCTGAGAAAGGGATGCCTGTGTTGGAATAAAAAAATCTGGACACACTTGAAAATGCTTGGGAAATATTAGAGTTTTGAGGTGGTACCCGAGCACACAAACTTAACATACGTAGGCTACAACCCTTATGTCTGAAAATGCCCTTTCCAAACAAGCCCCCTTTCTCCGTCTTGCTTAGCAGTCAGACTTTCTAAGCTCCACGTAGTTGAAAATGGAAGGCGGGTGGTTGATTGGAAGATATTGAAAAGTAGTAGGGAGAAACAAGCTTCTCCCCTGATTTCCCCCCCACCTTTTCGGACGTTTGCTTATTTTGGATTTCCCTGTATCTGTTTTGCTTCCTTTTCTCACTGATTTTCCCTGCTACTCCTCACTTAATTTGTTTTTCTCATCTAGTATGTGGGGAAAATGCTTTGTAACTGCAAAGCACAATGTAAGTGCAAGTGAATTGAATTAAACCTAATTCATTATTTATCCACTGCCCCTTGTGTGCAGTGCACTGGGTGTCTTGGGGGTTATAAAGATGACTAAGACGAAGTCCAGCAATGGCTCATCTTTTCTGCTGCTGTTCTCTTTCTGTATTTGCTATTAAAATTCCAGCTTCCCAGTAACCCCCAACACACACACACACATTCTCTCTCTCTCTCTCTCTCTCTCTCTCTCTCTCTCTCTCTCTCTCTCTCTCTCTCTCTCTCTCTCTCTCTCTCTCTCTCTCTCACTCTCTCTGTCCCTCCCTCCCTCTCTCCCTCTCTCCCTCCCTCTTCCTCTTCCTCTCCCTCTCCCTCTCTCCTTCACCCTCTCTCCCTCCCTCTCCCCTTCAGGAAAAAAATCGCTTCAATTTCTCAGTTATGGAAGAGTATTCACGGAAAGTAAGAATGCTTAATTAAAACTCTTTATTTGAATTTGTCTAAAAGATGAGTTTAGTTTGAGTCTGTTGCTTCAACAATATTCAGAGAAAAGGTGTCTTGGCTTCATGGGAATCAGATTACCTCCATGGACTGACTTCTAAAAATTCCCATGATGCCTGTAGTGAGTGCTGCATACTCCATCTTCTTTACCACCCTCCCAGTTTGTTTTTTCATTTCCCTTCTCTCCACTGTTTTAGGTGCCCAGAAGCAAGTACACCAGATGATGTATGTAATGTGACACACATTAGTTTTCCAGTACACTAGTCTTTTAAAAATCTATCCAGTGCAAAATGCAGTTTCTTTGAACTTTGGTAAAAACTATTTGCTGTAATTTTAACTTCACATGCTATTTAAGTTGGAGAACTTGTTTTTGTACCTGTTGGTGACAGATTTTCCAGCTACCTGCAAAGGCCAGTTAGGTAACCAAGGAAGAATTTGCATGCCTTTGTGTAATGAGAGACTGGATGAGAGTGGGAGAGTGGCTGCTTCAGTTACCAATTTCTTGTCCCAGTTAGCTCTTACTTAGTCCAACTGCTTGTTGTTAAGATTTCTGTGGTAATCATATACATTTGAGATGCTATCAGAAAAGAGATTTTTTAAAAGTACTTGGAGGAAATAAACATTTCCTCAACTTAACCCTTATAGTGTTACCTTAGTTAATTTTTTTCTACTATTTCCCCCTAGGAAGACAAAATAATTTTCACACTTTCCTCAGTTACAGAAATGTTTGAGAGCTAATTTAGCCTATAGCTTTGAAATGATTAAACCTTGCTTAATTTTTTATATATAATCTTATAAGGCCAGTACTAAGGCATGAACAATACTTCGATGGTGTTGTTAGAAAAGGGATCTCATATAGCTCAGGCTGGCCTTGAATTATGTGCAGTCAAGCATGGCCTTAAATTTCTGATCCTGCTTTTTCCACTGCCCCAGAGCTAGGATTACAGGCATGTGCCACCACTATTGGTTTGATATGGTGCTTGAGATCAAGCTCAGGTCTTCCTACATGTTAGGTAAGCATCAAGGGGGCTAAATCCCCAGCCCCTAAAAAACCTAGTAAGACTTTTGAATAGTTGCAATATACTGAGAGTTCATCAGAGTGTATTCCTTGTGTGACAGCTTCATCTTCCTTAATATTTGTAGCTTTCAGCTGGTCACAATTGTAGTTACTCATACTGTTTTACTAACGCACATACTTCAGATTCTTTCTAGGATTTTTTAAAATTTACTAAGGAAGAAAAAAGGTATCATTTGATCCAGACAATTTCTAGAAATTATATAGAAACTAAGAAGGAAATGAAGGAGAAAAATAACTTTATTGAGTTGTCTTAGTATATGTTCAAGATGGTTTAATGAAGGACCATTAATGTGACAATTCATTTTTATCTATAATTTTTATTTTACTTAAATGTATTCGAAGGAGATGCAAAATATAAAGAGTATATATTAATGTTTAGCAAAGATGTAAGTCGCTCATGCAATCTTTGTGAATATAGTACTGGTCAGATTTCCTGCCAGCAATGAATATTTGATATGGCACATTGTCATTGTTAATAAATACACAATAGATGATCTACTTATGAGTCAGTAAAATAAAGACTTCTATTCCAGATTATTATTTTGATAATGTTTCTGGATATTTGGTGATAGCACATAAACTTTTACATTAACTAAAATTAAGTTTATAAAATGAATGTTGGAGAAAATTAATGTACTCATCCCCTTTATTATCACTTGAAACCAGTAAAAAAAATTTAGTTCTGATTAGGAAGAAAGCAACTAATTATATGATTATATTCTGGTTTTTGAGTATTATTTACCGAGTACATCTGTATGGAAAGTATTTTAATGGATTAAAACTAGTTGGAAAATACATTCAATCATCTTACAGTTTTGATGAAGTCTTAAAACATAAGTTTTCATAATCAATAAAGGCAAACTAGTTACTGAGAAAAGTCATAGACAATAAAGTAAGCCAATAACTTTCTAATTTGTTGCTGGACCTGTTGAGATTTGAGACTAATGCAAAATATCTATATGACCAAGTTAATTATTTTCTAGGACCATTTCCCTCTATGACATTCTTCTAGTGAGCATTAATCTCTTTCTGGGTTAAATAAAGTGACTATCATCTTCAGAGTGGAGTAGAAGGCCCACTTTGCGGATCTTTTCTTGTGATTTCTGGGACTTAATGCTAATCCATCTTGCAGTATTATAATCACCAAAATAATCTAAAATTTTAAGTTAGTCTTTAACCTATCCCACAATCAAGTGCACTACTCTTTCTTGACCATAATAAAACATTTTGTTCGAGAAGTAGTCCCTGACTTCTGGTTTCCATAATAATGACTAAGCCATCTTGAGAATAGAAAATGAAATAAACTATTTTAGGCATTAAAAAAAACAGAACCGAATGTATTGCATGCAATCCTGTAATAGAGGGAAATGTAGTGATTACATGATATCTGTCCAGTGTAAATGTGAAGTGATATAGAGGAGACTATATCTGATAAGGCAAAGAAATTTTGATATGTGATTAATAATTCTTTTTCTCCTCTCATAGGACATCAGAGCTTAGGTTGAAAGGTATCTTAATTGTATAAAGGAAATTATCAACATTTTGAGTTAAATTGAATCGCGGGAAAGAAATCAGAAACATTTATGACAAGAACTCAAAACTATATGCTGTAAGGAAAAGATGTTAAACTTAATTGGTCACAGTGATCATATCCTTTTGAAAAATTTGATCCTTTTTTCAAATACAATGTTACTAGATAGGCACAGCAATCACACACTTTGAAATTCAGTTATGTTTTGCTTTTTTTCTAATGGAAATTCTTGTTATTTTATGTAAAAAAAGAGACATTTATCTTCTGCTATGTATAGTCCACGAGAAACATTTGATTTATATTGTCATTGACATTTGATTTCTGGCATTCACAAATTTAGTTCTGATTAGGAAGAAAGCAACTAATCATATGATTATATTCTGGTTTTTGAGTATTATTTACCAAGTACATCTGCATGGAAAGTGTTTTAATGGATTAAAAAATAGTCTCTGCTTAAAAAATCCTCTGTAAGAGAAAACAATGTCATTAAAAAATCCTATCCAGCATAAAGACAGGAACCAACTAATACACTTAGAAAAA